CCGCTACTCCTCTCGGGAGCACCTGGACTCCATGGCACGGCGTCAGTTCTCCCGTGACCCGTTGTGCCGGCAGGTGGGCGGGGGCTCGCGGGACCGCCTGGAGCACACGGCCCACAGTCAGCACGGCTCTCGCGAGAACCTGGACCTGCTGCCACGGCGCCGTGACCCGGGCCTAGAGCGGGCCTCGCGGGAGAACCTGAGTGGCTCTCGCGACAGGCTGGACCCCCGGAGTGTCCATGCCTCGCGCGAGGACCTAAGGGAGGGCCAGCTGGCGGGGTCCCGCTCGCAGCTCAACACGCTGCTACGCAGGCAGTTCTCCCGGGAGCTCCTGGGGGGGCCTCTGATGGGCACACGCTCGCGGGAACAGTTGGAGCCTGGTGCGGGGGGTGGGGGAGTGCAGCCCTGCAGGGAGTGGCTCCGGACCTTGCCCCCCCGCCAGGCCTCGCACCCTGAGCAGTCTCTCCCGCCCAGCCCTCCGCCACCCATTGCCGAGCAGCTGGAGCCCCAGGACCCCACCCCGCCTTGTAGGTACCCACCCCATCAAGCCCCACCCAGTCGGCACACGTCCAATGAGCACCTGGACGTCCTCTCTTCCATCTTGGCCTCCTTCAGCTCGTCCGTGCTCGCCCCCCCAAGCCCAGCCTTGGGGCCATCCCCCTCTCCCCCCCACTCCGCTACCTCCCACAGCATCTCTGAAATCTCGCCCGACTCGGAGTAAGTTGTGCTCCTGCATACCTGGACACCGGCGGTTCCCAGGCCCGGTTGTGTCGGGTTGCACGGTGCACAGGTCTGTCCCCTTGGCCTTGAGGCCAAAAGCTTAGAACAGACCGGCCAGAGCAGTAGACAGCTCCGGGGTCCACTGACAGGTCGCATGCATTGTGGCCCACCAGGACCAGGTCTGGGAATCTGCTTTGCACACTCATTCTCATGCATTTGTTCTCCTTCATTTACTCTGTACCAAACCCATCCACTCTGTTACCAGAAATAATGCTTTTCTCATTTTCAGTATGTATTATACATTGCACATGTATAATATAACCCTGTAGAGGTGTAATATATCTCTGAATATCGTATGTATAAGCAGTTTTTATAGCGTTTTTATTACGTGTCTTGTGTCATTCCCCCTCACTCTGCTGACTGACTTCATTAATCTCTTCTCAGAGTCCACAGAGGTGAAGGACAGTCTTGACTCCCGATCTCTCCCATGCGTCATCTCTGTACCACCACGTCTGGGAAAGAACGTGAACTACTGAAGCATCCTGGGATACCAGAGGACTTTCGCAGGGAGAGGAGCTGAGGTCTGAAGCGGAGCAGTATGTGGCGTGGTTGGATGTTGTACGGAAAAACGGCGAGCAGAATGTCGAAAAGCGGGGGGCGTCCGACGTGGGTGTGGGCAGCTGGGGCGGGCGGAAGGGGCCGGGCTGGGCTCCCCCGTTTTTGGAAGGCAGAAGAGGAGAGCTGTCCAGTGTTTACATAGTGCGCTAACCATAATCACAGGGGCGGGAAATGGAAGCCACCAAGTTCGCAGCCTGATGCACCGTGACCTCAGATTTTATATGTGATTGCGGAACAGGGAGGAATGATTCACTGAAGAAGCTGTAAATAACTTTTTATACGTTTTGTATCTTTTTCATCAGAGATGAAAAAAATTCTAATGTGTTGTTTTAAAAACTGTGTTGAAGATACTGTCCAGCAAGGGGGATAAAGACAGGTAAGAAATGGGATTATTTGGCCTTTGGATCCACACCGATTACCCAGCCCCATTTAGGTCT